GTGCAACACAGCGCAACAGATTAACAACAGTGCAACAACAATGCAACAGATTTACAACAGTGCAACAACAATGCAACAGAGAACCAACAGTGCAACAACAATGCAACAGATTAACAACAGTGCAACAACAATGCAACAGATTAATAATAATGCAATTGAATAACAAAATTGCAACAACAAGCAATAATTAACTTGGCTGACTTGTCAATAGACTTGTTAGCAGACTCGTTAGTAGACTTGTTAGTAGGCTTGTTGTGTTGCAGCACATCAACAACGGTGCAATAGGTTAGTAGCACATTCTGATTATAACGAGTCAAAAGAGGAGACTCACGTTCGTCCATGTTGCCGCCCTATTTAGCAGCACCCCAGTTCATTCTGATTATAACGAGTTTAAGTAGGAGACTCGCATTCGTCCATGTTGCCGCCCTATTTAGCATCACCCCAGTTCATTCTGATTATAACGAGTTTAAGTAGGAGACTCGCATTCGTCCATGCTATAGCCCTATTTAGCATCACCCCAGTTCATTCTGATTAAAACGAGTTTAAGTAGGAGACTCACATTCGTCCATGCTATAGCCCTATTTAGCATCACCCCAGTTCATTCTGATTATCATTAATGTGTGCTTACCAGAATATAGACTATAATCTGGACCAATAAACTGTGTCCAATAGACTTAATAGTCCAATAGATTGTGGGCTTAGCGGACTATTATTTATGGTTTGGTGGGTTTAGTAGACTTGTTAAGTTTGGTGGGGTTAGCTTGCAAGGTAGGACTTATATAATAGTGAGCTCATTTTACTAGGTAAGCTTAGTGGGACTGGTCGGATTGTTAGGCTCTATAGAGTTGTGGTCTTAGTGGCAGATAGATTATTATGATAAAATAATTATCAATATTATTTGTAGATAGAAAAATTGATGCTGATTCTTCGCCGTTCTAACAACCGGCATCAATAGATCGCTTATAAGTTATACGATTACTTATTTCAACAGTTTCTAAAACATACCTTCGTTTGGTTGCCAGGACTGAGAACCGTCGTGCCAGGTTTTGCTTGCAGCTCAAATCTACGCCGCAGTTCTGGGTCTGTGAAGTTCCAGTACTCGTAGAAATTGATCACTTCTTTCCACTGCTGTGCGTACACGCTCGAGAAGTTTGCCGTCGCTTCTATCTGATGGAAGTAGCATAGGGTATTGGTAAGTTAAGATTGTAAGTTATGTTCATGATCGTAACTTTAAAAATAATGTTTTTCGACCATATTTTAAATACGGTAAGTATCAAATTTCACCGTGCATTCGTTGTTATAGTATCGGTCGTGATGGAGGAAAGGATTCTATAGTTTGGTTTCTGCAGGGTGGCCTCTTGCCTTCAGTGCACAGACGCCATCTTTCACTTAATAAACATTTTGGTGCCCAACGGTTGGACGACGATTTCATTTTTGAATACACACACTGATGCAAAAATCTGGAACCAGTATATTAACTCAATATAAATCAATTATTTAGAGCGAATTAAAAAAATGTTATGAACGTGTGCAGGAAATGCTGACTTACTGATGCGCTGGCATGTGCATCAGTGTGATCAGTATTCTCCAGCCAGCTCGCCTCCTGCATGATCACGAAGGATTTTTGTAGGACAACGTCCATGTCATCAATATCTTTTTTTGCCGCCATCTCGTCTGTCGGGTTTCGGCTGGAGTTGGTCACGACCTCAGCTGTGCTGGAGACGCCGGGTGTCGTGCCGGGAGTATCAGAAGTTGACGCACTTTCTGAAGAGCTCGTGGTGACACCTGTAGCGCCGGCATCTGTCGTGGTGACATCTGTCGTGGTGGCATCTGTCGAGATGTCATCTGTCGAGCTGACTTCTGTCGAAACTGTCGTGTCATCGAGCAGCTCTCCCTCCTGTCTTTCGTGCACGCCAAGGTACTCATCCAGGTGTTCTCTGCTGCACAACGTACGGAGCGGAGTTCCTTTCAGTCAAATATAAACAATGAAAAACTGCCAGGTGTAAGTTTGAATTATGTTTCGTATTTTGTTCGTTCAAACACAAGAAATATTTTCTCAGATTTGTTGAATGAAACTATTCAAGGTAGAATTTTAATGAGACTTGATTTTGTTCCGCTCCGAACATCTACTCATCCTAAATAAAATTTAATTTCTTATAGAGATGTACGGAATCATATTGTCGTAAACGACTGAAATTTCCAGATAAATAACTCGAAGAATGTGTTAACTTGGCGTATTTTGTGAAAGAAATGTTTGGCCGTGATTTTTCGGTCATTGAGTCGCTAGATTGATGTCAAAATTTAGGCTTATATGTTGAAACGTCGGAAATCAGAAAACTGCATTAAATTCGACTTTATTTCACACATTTTGTGTATTTCAATGAAATTAACTGACTGGAAATTTGATGATATAGGTGCCTGTGTTCTAGTCTCAAACGTTTTATGTTCGGAAATTATTTAAGCTTGTGTTATTTATTAAAGAGCATGTGTTATTTAATAAAGCCTGTGTTATTTATTAAAGCCTGTGTTATTCATTAAAGCCTGTGTTATTTATTAAAGCCTGTGTTATTTACTAAAGAGCATGTGTTATTTATTAAAGCCTGTGTTAGTAGAGGTAGTAGACAATGCTGGCAGTGACTAGGTGTTGAGGCAGCGACTACAGAGAGAAAGACAGCAGAAATTTTACGTTGTCAAGCAGAGACTAAAAAATAGATGAAATATTTGATATTACATTCGAACAGAAAGAACATGAATGTTTCAAATATCTGCTTTATAGCTAAGAACATTTATGTATATGTGTTGTGAACATATTAGGGCAACATTTTGGTCTGGGTTGCAAGTATTTTTGAGTTGTGAACATATTTCGATTAAGAACATGTTCGAGTTTGTATCATGCTTGGATTGAAATCGAGTATGGGTAGTGAATAATTTTAGAACACGACACTCGTTAGCGTTAAGAACATGTTTCGTCTGAGATTAAGATGGAAAAAAATGTTTCACATGTAGTTATATTTTGGATTCGAACACATTCAGGTTTAGAATATTGTCTGAGATTGTGATCGGGCTGAAAACAAGCTGGAACTCCAACCTAGCAAACACGCTTTCGTTTCTCGCATTTAAACCTCGTATATTACAAGGTATTCTCTGAATGCCTCCTAATTGAATATCTTCATAATTAAGTATTCCTTGAATACCTTAACAATTGCATATTCCTTGAATACCTTCATAATTTAATATTCCTTGAAAACCTTCATAATTGAATGCCTTCATAACTAAACACCTTCATAATTGAATACCTTCATAATTAAATACCTTCATAATTGAATCCATTCATAATTAGATATTCCTTAAATACCTTCATACCTCCGCAAATCTTCCCCCCCCCTGACGCAGCAGGACCACTAGACGGCACCCACCTGAGCCCAGGCAGGGACAGGGCCCGCGATGGCGCGTACAGGGCGCACAGGAGGCCCAGCAGCGTCCCGCACAGCAGGATCAGGGCTCTGCTCTGTCCCACCATTTACGTGTGACCAGAATAGTCACATTATACGTGTGACCAAAATAGACACAAGATACGTGTGACCTCAAGAAATATATCGTAACACTGACACTTGATGTCTGCGATTGTTCCTCAAAGTGAGAGCAAGTATCCATGTTATAGGATTAGGTGAAGAGTTAAGCCCTGAATTTCCGTGATCCGTCCTATAGAAAAGAGTCGAACTTTTGCAATTAATTAAGTTATGCGTTGCCAATAAGGTATTCAATAAACATATAATATTTGTGATGCAATTGTAGCGCGGCAGAGATAAGACACCTTTTACGATTTCATAGAACTTGCGTAATAATTTAGTCATTTTCATTTAATTAGGGTGAAATGAATTAATTTTCATTAATTAATTTAAGTGTTGTGTTAATCGCACTCTGTGCATCATTAATAAAATACTTCTGTGTACGTTTGTGTCACTATAAGACTGGATGATATTGATTCATAATTTTTATTTACAAATGGACTTTAGACGTAATGATAACGTCGGATAGAGATTAATGAATAATAATGAACTGACCGTTTGCTTTATAGTTTAATGTTCACAATTGTAGGAAGTAATTGAGTGCACTATTTAGACTAAAATAGCTTGAACAATCGTTTTAGTTCACTATGGTGAGTGGTAATGAAGCAACGTGCACCGATCGCCTCGTCACAATCAACTGATGGTGAGAATTAGGTCCAGTGAAGCGGTTTGCTCTCGACCCTCTAATGATAAGACGTCAAGAAAACGATAACGTCGCGACGTTCATAAGCGATAAAGGAACTTTTATCACTAAGGAAATATCCATGAATTTTCTGCAAGCTTTTTATAAGCAAACTAATTAAACGTCGAAGAGAACGGAGTTCTGAATTCTTATGATTAGAACTTTGTACGTAGTGAAGAACATGTTCTTACATGCTCATTTGAACATGTCGATCAATTGGATATTATTGCCAATCCCATATTTTATAAATTCAAAAATTATTTTTAATGATTATTTATTTGTAAAACAAATGAGTCCCGTTGTCAAAATTGTGACACACTTGAAACGAAATTTTGCCAGGTCAAACTGGGTGAGGATGACCCACTCGGGGGGCAAAAACTGCAATTTTATTTGGACAAAGCCTTACTTATTTTTCTGAGAATGTTTCTGCGCTCTTATTTCACTCTGTTTCACACAGACGAAGCAGTCAGGCCGATTTTATGACGAGAATATTTAATTATTTACAAGGAAGATTCTTAGGTATATGTGTCTAATTATCTAAACACCATAATTAACTTGATTATCTTGATCACCTGTGGCTAATTAAATGTAAGGAGCTCATGAAGTTCTGATCGCTTGTCAATGAACTGGACGGCGCGAGATAAGCGATACGTTATCAGCGAGACGCACTTGAATCTGAGCAACGCAGGGCTGGTCGAGACGTAAAATATGATAGATAGATTATTTCAAATTAAAAATATACTTACTATTGTTTTCTACAGTCTGAAGATCTGCAGCATTAAATCTCGCATAGTATATTTAACAGACGATGGTGCCACCATCACCATACCGGTGTTATACCTACGAATGTCACTATACCGGTGCAAAACTTACGAATGTCACCATACCGGTGTAATTGTGTAATGCCTACGAATTTCACCATACCGGTGTAATGCTTACGAATGTCGCCATGTCAGCGTAATACTTGTGAATATTGTGTGAATATTGTCATACCGGAGTAATGCTTGAGAATATTGTCATACCGGTGTAATGCTTGTGAACATTGTCATACCGGTGTAATGCTTGTGAATATTGTCATACCGGTGTAATGCTTGTGAATATTGTCATACCGGTGTAATGCTTGTGAATATTGTCATACCTTTGTATTGCATGTTAATATTGTCACACCGGTGTAATGCTTATGAACATTGTCATACCAGTGTCACGTAAATTCATCAATTTGTAATCATGTGGGGAGTGATGCGGGATTTGGAGAAGATGAAAAACAATGCACAGATTTGTAAACACCGCTTTACTTACAACCACCATATCCATCAACGATCATTTTAATGCTATATACGAGCATCGTATCACCTACGATCACTTAAATATTCAAGATCATCGTATAACCAACGATCATTTCTATATTTCTAATCATCATTTCACATTCGATTATTTTTATAAAACCGATCGTCGTATCATCTAAGATCAGTTTAATAATATTGACGATCATAGTATCACGATCACTTTAATATTTACGATCATCGTAGCACATACAACCACCGTAGGATTTCACATGCAGAGAATTCCGGGATGCGGGTGTTCCTCCTGTTGCATACGATCATGTTGACGATCATACGATCATGCTGGTAATCGTTTGTCTTTAAGGTGTTTGCAAAACGAAAAGCCATGGTCAAGCTCGGTGACTACATGGTGGCAATAACTGCAGGAAGTGGGCAGCAGATGGAGTGGATCTTGTTGACATTTCGAAAAAAAAGCGAAACCGATGATCACTCTCCCCAGAGTCCTTGTGATCACTCTTTTCGAGTATACTGCTGCCAGCTGTGGACCCCGTTCACGGTCAGCGCAGTGCGTCAATAGGAAGCGGGCTGGCGATCACTTCCATTGCATGGAAGGGTAAAAGTTCCTAAACATTCACGTCTAGAATCAACGGGTTTAGCTGAATTTCCTGGCGAGACCAATATAAATGCTGGTACTGATACTTTCACTTGGCAGTGAAAGACTAAGAAGACGATTCATCGTGGACTGGGACTGCTACGAATGAAACGTATACCAAAAGTATCCAGAAAAGTGCGCTGATGATCAGATATTTTGACGTCTGTGTTTCAACAAGTAGCGAATGTGTACACACTAAGCAACTCTAAATGACAAATGTGGAATAAGTGGTTATTAGACATGTATGCAAGTTTTCTTTTCGACATTTTATACTACTGCGACCGACTAAATTATTCCAACACTCATACACTGCCTATGGCTCTTAAGTTGTGTTGGTCCATCTGGCTTACTATAATTATGTAAATGAATAGCCTGAATATTGGCACCAGAAATTGTGACAAATGTGCGGACTTTCCGAAGTCTTTTAAGGCCCACGTACAAGTGTGAAGTGAATGGTTCGCAGGCCTGGCATGATTTAGGGGAACTTATGCTAAGAAATATACTTTTATTAGACTTTTTTCCAGGCCTAACACCATATAATGAGGCCTAGAAACCAAACTAAAGTTGATATAATAGACTAGTCCACGATGACCTGCGTACTGTGCGCCGAGGTCAGATGTCTAATGGCCCCATTAGAAACAGGTTATATAATGGCTTTAGTACCGTCAGGTTAAACATTGGTCATGTTGGTCACAGGTTATCTAGTGGCATCAGTACCGTCAGGCTAAACATTGGTCATGTTAGTCACAGGTTATCTAGTGGCTTCAGTACCGTCAGGTTAAACATTGGTCATGTTAGTCACAGGTTATCTATAGGCTTCTGTACCGTCAGGCTAAACATTGGTCATGTTGGTCACAGGTTATTTAATGGTCATATAGTCGTCATGCTGACGTTCACACGATATCGTGCTTACGTTCACACGACGCTGTTGTGTTGACGTTCACACGACGCTGTTGAGTTGACGTTCAAACGACGCTGTTGTGTTGACGTTCACACGACGCTGTTGTGTTGACGTTCATACGACGCTGTTGTGTTGACGTTCACACGACGCTGTTGTGTTGACGTTCACACGACGCTGTTGTGTTGACGTTCACACGACGCTGTTGTGTTGGCGTTCACACGACGCTGTTGTGTTGACGTTCACACGACGCTGTCGTGAACGTTCACACGAGTGTTATTCACCACTCCATAAGTTTGTTTTAAGCAATACACAAACTGTGCACGATATCAGTTTGTGCATTATATCGTGTATATCGAGATTTTCAATCATGCTAATTGTATATAATCAAGCCTGCACCTCAGCTGATAACAGCAGGGTCCGTTATCAGGCTAGGTGGCGGTCATTATCAGGTTTGGAGACGTGATAACGCTGCGGGTAAATACTTTACGTTATATCATCAACATGACGCAGGCCACGAAAACTGTCCACTGATTTCATTGCACAACAACTAATTATTTATAGAAGGGCTTCCATAATATTTATTTTAAGTATTACAATGAGTGATTGGCATTGCAGTGTAAATCTGTAGGAGTTCACGCAAATTGTCCTCACATGTTTTGTTTTTCTTAACTTGTTTTCAAACTAAATTCCAGCGGAGGTATTGCGTCGGATCTCCACCAGCAATCAAGAAAGTGAACTATTTATGTGACTCCTAATATCAATGCTTATTATCAATATATTATATAACAGCTGTTTACTCGTAACCGACTGTTGTAAAAAAACTACTTTTTAAACATAGCTTACTGCCGCTATACATCGTTGAAAACATCGTTGAAGCAACATCGGCGAGCAGAGCGTTGCTATACTCGCTTTCTTCAGGAGCTTCACTTTGAACGCCACAACGTTCAACTAAATCTTGCATGAGCAGCGTCAGCGCTCTACAGTTAATCAGCAATGGTTCATATGAAACCCAATTGATTTCTCAATGGATAATGGAGGACATCATGGTACATATCATCGCTAGCATGTGAACCCAATGGATAATGGAGTACATGAATGGTTCATATCATCGCTGGCATGTGAACCCAATGGATAATGGAGGGCATAAATGGTTCAAATCATTGCTGGCATGTGAACCCAGTGGATAATGGAGGGCATAAATGGTTCAAATCATTGCTGGCATGTGAACCCAGTGGATAATGGAGGATAACAATGGTTCTCGTATTTTTTTCTCGAATAGATAGAGAAGACGTACAGGTTGGATTTTTGATGCTTCTTATGTAACCCATCATCAGTTAGCTTGGTTGCGTATAAATGATGACAATGTTCATTGAATTCAATTCTACTTCAATTATGAATGTGATGTACGGTGAGCCTAACTTAAGATTGTTTGACGTGCAATATCATATATTGGAGTTACGGAATCATTTTGATATTTGCAACTATTATAAATTTCAAGAAGCATTCAGACATTAGATTGCAGCTTTGCGGGCACGAAAATTAATTTCAGGAAGAAAATTCTAAGATATATTTGGTGAATGCAGGGGGAAAGCAATGCGCCCCCAGGAGCTTAAGTTTTGTTTTCATATATTGAGCTCCATTTAATAAATAACCTGACTCCTTCAAAGAATCAATGTGTAGGGTGACAATCAATCCAGTCGACGATAGAAATGGCCAAGACGATAGGTCTAGGAGTGCTGTTACTCTCAGGATTGTGGATATCGTGGTCACGGTAGCAGCTATCTCAATCAATCGTCAGCTATGGAAAGATCGGGTTCCAAAGGCCGGATCCCTTGTGAATCAAGTCACGAAAAGTACAAGAGTCGGCAACAGGCCATGGGCCTATTTCTTCAGTGCCGACACTTCTATTCTATCCTAGTTACAGCGTCAGAACGAAGAAAACTAACAGCTGTTGTTTGTACATATACCTAAGCTATACCTAAATATAACGAGAAGACGTAGGGAATAATGCGAAATATAAAATCATAAGCCTGGGGCATCGCTAGATAAAACGTACCTAGTCATGCCCTTCGGGGTAAAACCTCTCCCCGTATCACTGATAACGATTGCCGTGGCCTTATCGTAACCTGTCACAGCAACTCGCACCTCAACGCGTAAACAACCTGTCTCATTAACTGCATGATAAACAACCTGTCTCATTAACTGCATGATAAACAACCTGTCTCATTAACTGCATGATAAACTGTCTCATTAACTGCATGATAAACAACCTGTCTCATTAGTTTCTTGGCAAACCTGTCTCATTAACTGCATGATAAACAACCTGTCTCATTAACTGCATGATAAACAACCTGTCTCATTAACTGCATGATAAAAAACCTGTCTCATTAACTGCATGATAAACAACCTGTCTCATTAGTTTCATGGCAAACAATCCGTCTCATTAACTGCATGATAAACAACCTGCATCATTAGCTCCACGGCAAACAATCCGTCTCATTAAGTGCACAATAAACAACCTGTCTCATTAGTTTCATGGCGAACAACCCGTCTAATTAACTGCATGATAAACAGCCTGTCTCATTAGTTTCAAGGTAAACAACCCGTCTCATTAACTGCATGATAAACAACTCGTTTCATTGGCTCCATGGCAAACAATCCGTCTCATTAACTGCATAACAAACAACCAGTCTCATTAACTGCAGGCAAACAGCCGTCTCATTAACTGCATGACAAACAACCCGTCTCATTAACTGCATGGCAAACAACCCGTCTCATTAACTGCGTGACAAACAACCCGTCTCATTAACTGCTTGGCAAACAACCCGTCTCATTAACTGCATGACAAACAACCCGTCTCATTAACTGCATGTGTCTCATTAGTTTCATGGCAAACAATCCGTATCATTAACTCCATGGCAAAAACCTGTCTCATTAGCTCCATGGCAAACAACCCGTCTCATTAGCTCCATGGCAAACAATCCGTCTCATTAGCTCCATGGCAAACAATCCGTCTCATTAGCTCTATGGCAAACAGTCCGTATCATTAACTCCATGGCAAAAACCTGTCTCATTAGCTCCATGGCAAACAACCCGTCTCATTTGCTCCAAGGCAAACAACCCGTCTCATTAGAGCATTTCGATCAAAATTTCTGCTATTATACACCGAGAACATTTGTGCTACGTTCCGATCTCAGCTCTGTACAGCGTAAAAATATCTACCAGTCCCATGGTGATGATCAAATTATGATGAACGAGAGAATTTTTCTATTTAAAATAACGAGTTTCCTCTCGCATGCAAGGGAGCTTGCTCGCCTCAAGTGTCGTCATCGCCTCCAGGTCTGACGGTTACCAACTGCACTAAAATAATGGGATTCAAACACTAACCAAAAAGTTAGGTGAACATGAAGACATGAACAGCACTGGAAGTATGAACTAATCAACGGTTTTTTATCATAAATACTCTGTAAAATTTCTATTGCATGATAACCATGAAGTCTCCAAAATCATTATCCTGAGACAAACTTCATGGTAGCATAACTGCATTAATTTCTTGGTTTATTTAATATTCTCAACCAGACATGCGAATATAGGCTCAGTTAAACAACAGAATTTAGTACGGATTTTGCAATGAAAGAAAGGATAACTGGAATGAAATGCGGCACCGAAAACACGCATGGTTTATTCTCACACAAATTCAGAATATTGTTAACAACAAAAAATAAAATGCTTTGAAATTGGTCACATCTGGAATGTCGCTGCTTCAAGGAAATAATAAGTTCCAACTGAGCTTCGTCAAGTCAGAGGCAAGCTGTGATGCATGAAAGTCAATAACTGAAATGTGACCACGCCAACAGCTGCCTCCTCAACTGAGTCAAATGTAGAAAGTTAATACCATAAGCTCAACGTCCTCGAACAACAGTGGGGGCTTGCTATTCTTGACAGTATAAATAAAGGAAAGTTATGAGCTCGCTCTCTCCACAATACCAATAACAGAAAATTAACATTACTATCCCAAAAGTGTCAACAAGAGAAAGTAATCAGCTGGTTAATCCTTGAAGGCATGAAGAACTTTAAGTTAGCTATCTAACTCAAACAGCTAGTAAATTATTCAGAGAGAACACGATGATATTCTAGCACCAAAATCTCAATTCAAGTTATTATCATAGAGGCACAAAACTTAAATTCAGACCAAAATAAAATATCTCTGGTAGAAATTACGACCATCCTTTGCTGCCGGTAGTTGCTTAGTCATTCACTTCATGAATGTCATCACATACACTGGCTCAAGACAGAAATGTGCATCACACATGCGGTGCAATGAACATTATATGATGAATAGTAATCGCTGACGTGACACGCATGTTAGAGGTTGATGAAGCAGTGATACTGGAATTTTGGATGGAGCAAGACAACGAAATATGTGGAACTATTTTAGTTTATAACATGGCTGAGCTTGAGTCGTCCAAGGAGCATCCCAGACGACGAACTGCCGCTTACTAGCGTTCAAGATAACTAGTCTTGGTTGGTACTCTTGAAATACTTGAGACTCTCATCTGGGCTCGGCACAATCTGAAAACCAAAAATTAATTATGTTCCAAAACCGGTTTCACACATACAAAGAATATGCAGTAAATAACTAAACCTGAAAACAATGATCAACTAATATGAAATGGATCCATTTTTTCTTCGGCATCAAGCGCAAAATCAATGCTAAGAACTATTGTAGCAGAAATATTTTCTGAAAGAGGGAGAAGAGCACCTCAGCAATAGCATGAAGAAGAGTGAAATTTAGTCTACCGAGATACGAAAATTTGAACTTAGAGCAACATAAGGCCAAACATTCACTGCAGTTATGTCACTAGTACAATGCACCTAGTTTCATTGAGCTCGTTAGTACAGAAGATCACCCATCATGGCATGAGTACTTTACCCACCATGGCGTATGTGTGCCACCAACAATGACACCATCAGCAACCACCCAGGGTGTGAGTGAACCACCGTCAAAGGTACCCACGCTACCTACCATTGCGTGTGTGTGTCACCAACAAGGACACCATCCGCAACCTACCATGACACCATCCGCAACCTACCATGACACCATCCGCAACCTACCATGACACCATCTGCAACCTACCATGACACCATCTGCAACCTTATGACACAATCTGCAACCTACCATGATACCATTTGCAACCTACCATGACACCATCTGCAACCTACCATGACACCATTTGCAACCTACCATGACACCATCTGCAACCTACCATGACACCATCTGCCACCTACCATGACACCATCTGCCACCTACCATGACACCAACTGCAACCTACCATGACACCATCTGCAACCTAACATGGCACCATTTGCAACCTACCATGACACCATCCAAAACCTACCATGACACCATCCAAAACCTACCATGACGCCATCCACAACCTACCTGACGCCATCCACAACCTACCATGACACCATCCAAAACCTACCATGACACCATCCAAAACCTACCATGACGCCATCCACAACCTACCATGACACCATCTGCAACCTACCATGACACCATCAGCAACCTACCATGACACCATCCACTACCCACCGTGGCATCCCCAGGAGTCCAGCCAGCAGGGCAGACCTCGCCATGGCTGTCAGTGAACTGGAAAGCCTGGACAAGCCTCAACGTCTCGTCCACAGACCGCCCCACAGGCAGATCATTCAGGGTCATCTGCCTGAGTATGCCCTTGTCGTCGATGATGAAGAGCCCACGCAGGGATATGCCCTGATCCTCGAGATACACGCCGTAGTCTTGGGATATTTTCTTGGTGATGTCTGACACCAGCGGGATATTGAGGCGCCCTAGGCCACCTTCCTGCAATGCAATATCATCTTGTTCAATACAATCAGCATTTTATATTTGTGACAAGCAAATAATTAATAGTAAGCAACTAAAAACATTGTTATCATTTTTTTAATTATTTGAAGCAAAAAACTAATAAATAATGATAACAAACAGTCATTAAAAAGTAAATATCCTGGCACTTAATTGGATATTTATCTATTCAATAAGTGATGCTCATGAATTCTATCAAGCAGCAAAGTGCAGCCCTACCATTTGTAAACATTCTATTACTGAAGGGGTAACCAAATTAATTCTGGCTGGTAGCACATATTTGTTCCGTTTCGCTCCATGTGCATAGGCCTCTCTACCCATTAGAAGCCCTGAGAAAAGCAACTCAGCTGCTGTGCCTTAGCAGGAAGGAATTGCCATACAGCCGCTGATGTCAATAGCTAGCTGGTGTTGTGCTAATAATTATCATCTTGACTGGAAAACATAGTGCGATCAAGCTACATTTAGTGTTGCGTGAAGATGAATGATCAGCAAACTGTATTGGTTATCTGTGGCTTGCATTTGTGAGATGTTTAATAAGTGGGCACACAGTTTAACTGAGTGAAGATGAATGATCAGCCACTTCCATTTGTCTGCTCTGGCTTACATATATAAAACATGCTTAAAACAAAGTCTTTATGAGAAAATTAATTCTCATTGTAAAATAATTTGATTAAGTGATATAAATACCTTCCTGGGGGTCTTGGTCCAAGCCAGATGCGTGTAATGGGAGTCCACTGAGCAAGCTACCACCTCAGTGTTGATCTTACGAAACTCTTCAATACGATCGTTGAAAGCTAAAATTTCCGTTGGGCACACAAATGTGCTGAAAAAAAACAAACATTAACTGAATAAAAGATTAATTTCTGTATTCAAACTTATTTAACTATATTTAATTCATGAAATGAACTGGTAAAATTTCCATCAAAATATTGAAAACTTTGATGGAGTTCAAGCTACATTTTACCTATAAATTTTAAAAACATGATATTGAGTGCATTAATCTTTCCTGAAGGTAGTAAATACCTACAGTTGAATTTACCTCCAATAGCTGAATGGATACAAAAAGGAGATGCAAACAGAAATAAAATAAATTGATTCAATTATGGATCTAAAGTTGATACAGAATAAATAAAGAAAACCTATGTAGAGCTGCACTTCTATGGGAAGTTTTTTTATTTCATTTCCAAGTCATGTGGTAAAGCTACACACAACTTGCTGCAGGAAGTTCACAGTGAACTCATCATGAAAGAGCAAAAGCAACTCTAAATGAAGTGATCATCTAAAAAACATGAAAATAAAAACAATTGAGCTGGACACATACTATTCCATGGTAAGGATTTGTTCAGGTTGGTTTCATGAGCATGTAAGTCTGGCAGAAACAGTGTAAGCTACTCACAAGTCCAGAGGGTAGAAGAAGAAGACCAGATATTTGCCTCGGTAGTCGGAGAGCTTCAAGTCTTTGAACTGGCCATCCACCACAGCCGTTGCTTCCCAAGACGGTGCTGGCTTACTTACTGCAAGTCAAATATATAATTAGTTTTCTTAACTTATCACAAATAATGTTATACCAGTGTGATGAGTAAATTAAAGGTGCACAAAAATTACACAAACAAAGGATTTGACTTTATGCTTTTGCATAGGATATACTCATTCCCTAAACCCAATGCATAAAAAATTTACTAATCAATTATATACATAATAAAAATAACAAAACACATTGAATATAGACAAACAAATTTAAAGGCCAATATCTCAATAGAATAGCCTCTTTATGGAGAAAAATGGTAAAATGTAGAGAATCTAATTACCAGAATTAACAGATCTTAACAAGCTACCGGTATATCAAATAATATCCAGGAGATTAAAAAAATGTGGTTACTGAGGAAGCAGCATAAGAAAGAGTGTAAATTTTGTTTAATATAATTGAATTTACAGCTATCCTCCACTTAAGAGTATACTATATACCAAGAGGTTTCTGAAAACCATCATCCACTGAGGCCTGTCATATTGTTTTGATCATCTCTAATGGGCAACTGTTACAATCTGGCACATGTGGGATCTATATATAAAAGCTCAAAAAATCCTGCCATCAGTTAAATGCAGATTGCTTGGTTTGAAATGCTTGATTAATTATCTACTCCATCATAAATTGTCAAGTGTTGTCCATCATTGTTACCGTATCTTATATATATGTAGAATAGTTATGCCACAAGACCCATAGATGGCATTTATCAGTCCACTAAGTTACAAAATACAAAATTATGACCTTACAAGTTATTGATAGCACAATTAAGAGGTTCACAAGAAGGTAACTCACTCATTGCCTTAGTCCACTGAAGAGAATGCCCAGATGCCGTGCCCTCAGTGTTGGGGTAGACATGGCCACCAGCATAAGTCTGACACTGATCATCAGCTCCTAAGACAAAACCTTGTGCTGCCAACAAGCAGCCTAATAATGTAGCCAGTAATGTAGGCATAATTTTTCTCTGTATAAAAAATAGAATGAAAATTTCATAGCAACATAGGATGTTTATAAACTTATACAGCTAATGCCCCTAATACTTTTTAAATTATTTGCTACTCCAGATATCATGAGATATGTATATACTGTTGATGCCTCATAAATCTTATAAAAAAAGGGCAGTAGTTTGAAGATAGCTACTATTTTTGAAAATACAATTCTGAATAAGAAACCAAGCTAGTAAAGGTACAAAGAATTTTAATGATCAGTAATGCAGATTTACTGTAACAGTATCCTAAAAATGTCTTCTGATCAGTGTGAAGTTCTGAATAAGTAATATATTCTCTCGTTTATGTAACAAAATGGATTGGAAGGCCTACCATTTTACACCTCTCACTGCTATGCCAATGTGTACACTGAGCTCATGAGAGGCTGCTGCTATTCTGATGTTCTGCAATTTACTGACTGCATGTGGATCTCTGTGATGCCATTCTTGATTATCTTCACTAGTTCTTTATCCATGTGGACAATTTTTGCAATGAATACATTCTAGAATAAAAAAAGTATGTCAAATATTGCAGAAAAGTCTCACAATTTCAATAATAACAACAAAGTTTTTGGTACCCTACAAAATGATGAGATAATCTCCAATTCTCTTGTGGCATGTGGGTTGTGGCATATTGTAATGGCAGCAAACAAGTGAAAACATCCCACAGCGCATAGTGGCAAACCAGAGCTTTTTTAGAATCAGTTCATTTTTAATTTCCTCATTTACTCAAGATTGATACAAATTTCTTAAGTATGATAAAGCTGGTATCCATGATACTTTACTGGTCTACTTATAGGACTCAAAAATGAACTTGAGGGAGAGTCTAAAAAACTCTCTGCTTTGCCACTATGCATGATACTTTACTGGTCTACTTATAGGACTCAAAAATGAACTTGAGGGAGAGTCTAAAAAACTCTCTGCTTTGCCTGGTTGCCACTATGCCACAGCGTCTGGGGGCACTGCCCATTTGGGTAATTTCACATAAATTTCACAATAAAAAGATTTGATCCATACTGAGATTTAAATGATGGAAAGTTCTTTAAATTTGAACACCTCTTTTTAAATTATAACTACAAGTGTCCACTGTCCAGATATATTTTTTTCAGGTTTTAGCACAATTTAATCTTGATATTGTCTTCTTGAATGATTTTATTTCCCATCATGAGTTTTAAAAGTCCCATTAGCCTTCTCTCATGTCTTTTAGAAATATTTTTTGATTACAAGAGAGAAATACTGCATTTTGATAAATCAGAGGCAGGATATTGCTTTGGGAGGCAGGATCTGTTTGAACTTTCAATGAGGAAGTAGGTAGACTAAGGTAGATATGACTTTTCCTCAAATTATTAAACACAGACTTTCAATTTTTCAAACATAAATTTTCAAATTGAAACACTGGCCTCCATGAATCAAAATTAATATATCATATGAAGCACCATTTTTAAAATTCCTTCCCTCAATTCTCAACTGCAAATATTCATGATCTAATAATTTATATTGTAGTTATAACATGAGTGAACAGTGATGAGTTAACATCTTGTCCTATTCCTATAAATGGTAATGAATTTGCTGAAAATAACAGCACTAACTGATTAAGCATACCTATAGTACATTAGTGGCTGACTGGGCTGAGCCTGAGCTGAACTAATCTAATATCTGTCATCTCATAAGAATATAAATGACAGTCATGCATTGATGCAATGATGCAAGGCATTGCAAGCTTGTATTTAGTTTTATGGCACACATATGTTGTGAATGATATGACAGTATGACCTATCTATCTACAGTTCACCTAAGGCCCTAGGCCCCTAACCTGTCCTGCCTCACTGCCTGAGTTAGGCTGAGTAGCAGCTCAGTAGCCTGACTACTGACTTCAATATGAATAAAATAAAAAATCAGAGAATCTTCTGTTGCACTTGCACATGATCCTGATTATTTTAATTCATTATGGGTAGCCGTTAGGTAACTCACCACTCACCAGAAGAGGTTACATAGACTGATAGAGTAAATACTACATTATTGATTAATGCGTCATAAATTACTTTTTAGTTTTTGTCTAGGCTCCGTGGACCGTAGGCTGTGTATATGTCAATAATGTCATCGACACTTGAGTCAGTTGAGTGACTTGACAGTCCAGAAGAAAGTGCGCTATTGCCTCCGATGTGTAGCAGGTGGTACATAAGCTCATTTTGCAATAAAATTTGCATCGGTGTAGATGCCAAGATGGCTCTTGACATTGACAAGAGTCACAATACCGAGTCTTGACGGCTTGACGCCAGCATGGCCGGACGACAGTGACTGTTTGACACGCGATCGATGTTTGTTGTTGTTGATGCTTGTGGTCACGTAGCAGTGCTAGATTGAGAATTTAAATGACATTTTTTACCCTAACCAAAGATGGTTAGTTATTGGTTACTGCAGCGCAAATTGCAATTACCAATTAGTGTTATTTTAACGAAAAATAATTCACAATCATTTTCTTTCTTCTATGAATTTTGAAGGTTCGAAGCTGTCAGAATTTTTTTAAAAGAAAATAAACACGCATTCTGCCTAAAACCGCATAGCTCTATGTCTATAATATTAAACCAATTTGAGAATAAATAACATATGACCTTAACTCAATATCTGGCACTACAAGCCTTGTCAGATGGTTTAATGAGAACAAGTTCTGCGTACATCTACAATGACTTTAATTTGAAAAATTACTGGACAACACAAACAAACAGTTTGAAAATAAGTAAAACCATTTAATTTGATATAAAATATCACAAATGAACTTCGCTACCGCTACAATTGCTTAAATGTAGCGCCGCTACCGCTACCGCTACTGAAAATGTAGCGGCCGGTACATGTAGCGCGCTACTGCCAACCTCTGGTAACAACTAACATGTTGACACTAGTAACAGGCTGAGGTTGACAACATTACACCGAAATCTTTCGTACAGTTTTATTCTGTAATTTATATTATGTATGTATCATGCTGGTTTTTAAATAATATATAATACTATTAAGTCAAATCTAAAGGCTTTATCTATAAATGTAGCGGTAGCGCTGTAGCAGCAAAACCTCATATCGCTACTTAAATATGGAGCGGGCTCCACCGCTACCGCTACAATTGCTTAAATGTAGCGCCGCTACCGCTACCGCTACTGAAAATGTAGCGGCCGCTACATGTAGCGCGCTACTGCCCACCTCTGCTCCCAAACTAGAGAACGCAGCTCGATGAAACTTTGCACACGTGATCAATAGAACCTAACCGAGACGTTTTTGTCGTAATCATTTTCTCGATGTCACCTTTGTATACGGCAATACGGACCAAAATTCGTAGTGAGCCTAATATATCTTTTATCCTACTAGACAAATTTGAAAGAAACCTTGAATATGCCTTTCTAACCAGTTAGTGATGTTTAGGTCGGTAATTTTTTTGACTTGGCCTACGTTTCCAAGTTATGTGGTAAGTTTCGTTGGATAAACCGTTTCATCGTATAACTTGGATCGTATAACAGTTGGATAGACCGTATCATCGTATAACTTGGAAACGAAGGAAAAATCTTAAAAATGATCACAATTTAAACATCATTGTCAAGGCCCAAAAAATGCATGTACAAAGTTTCATCGAGTTCGTTACTTAGTTTAGCAGATATATGAGGCTCACTGCAAATTTGACAATCGGCCTCTGAAACGCCGGTCGTTTCTCCGTTAATTAAGCCGTATAACTTGCAAACGAAAGCGGCATCGGGCAAATGGTCTTCACTCTAAAATCACCGATAGATTCTATTGAACACGTATGCAAAGTTCCATTTTGCTGTGTTCTCTAGTTTGGTAGTTATTTTAGGCTAACTGAATAGGAATACACTCGGAGTAGATTAAAGAGTTGGGTCTATGCTTGGACACATCTAGCGGTATTTTTAGAGAAAGAAATCGATAACCAAGGCTCCTGTCACAAAAGATATTATTAATAGCGCACTTACTTTCGAGAAGAGCACCAGTTCTACAAAAGATCTGGCAGGAGTTTCAAAAGAAAGATCAGTTTCCAAAGACAAAAGATGAGTTTCCGTGTTATTCCGTCACGCCACGTGAGTTGTGCAATGAGCATATAAAAATGCATTTGTTAACAACCAATTAAGCGAGTCCTAATTTTCAGCATCACTGATTCAGCATTTATGATGGTGATAATATTAATAATAATATCACCCCTCTAAAGTTTAAGTTAATTTCGCCCAGCACCTCCCTAAAGTTTAAGTTTTCCCAGCACCTCCCTAAAGTTTAAGTTGTCCCAGCACTTAACCTGAAGTTGAGGAACGCTCGCCACGTTCTTGAAGTGCCAGACCTTGCCGTGCCTGCCAATGTGGTTGTTTAAATTATGTATGCAGTTCGTATCGGTCAAAGATCTTACAAACACCTGCGAGCGTTTGTTGGGGTATGCGTGAAACGAACAGCATCGTTTGTCCCTACCGCGCTGTACAGTGTACTATGCTTTATCGTTGTTGCAATATACTTTTCTATGCCGCTGCAGATACTTGAGAGAACTTTATTGTTATACTTCTATAGTTTGTACCAAGCTCTAATTCTGTAGATAATATCATTTGCCTTGCAACTGTAAATACCGGTAGTTGAAGATTTTAGCTCTGTTGTAGATTTAATTTACTCTACCGCTCTTGACTGCATCTTCTGCTTTGCTGTTGTGGGTGACATCATTTGTGACGAAGCTGCAAGTTACATAATTTTCTCTGTAGCTGCAGATATCGTAGTTGTAGCGCTGCAGCTGCAGATATCGTAGTAAGAGCGCTGTAGCTGCAGATATCGTAGTTATAGAGCTGCAGCTGCAGATATCGTGGTTGCAGCAGTGCAGCTGCAGATATCGTAGTTATAGCAGTGCAGCTGCAGATATCGTAGTTATAGCGCTGCAGCTGCAGATATCGTAGTTATAGCGCTGCAGCTGCAGATATCGTAGTTATAGCGCTGCAGTTGCAGATATCGTAGTTATAGCGCTGCAGTTGCAGATATCGTGGTTGCAGCAGTGCAGCTGCAGATGATGCAGTTATATCGCTGCAGCTGCAGATAGCTACACAAGCTCAGCGGCTACGAATAAAAAAATTTTCGTGCAGTTGCAGAAAACAACTGTTGATCTGCAGATAACAACTGTTGATCTGCAGATAACAACTGTTGAGCTACAGTTATGGAAAACATTCATCCCGCAGCTGCAGACCTTGA